AGATTAGAAATGCATGTGAAAACGTCTCAATGTCAATAGGCTTGGAATGAATTTTTCTGTATGAAATTGTGTGTTTTGACAACGAAGTGGAGATCTTTTTTAAACGTTGGAACCTCATTTAATTTTATGTCTTATAGAGTTTATAATGAGTAAAAGATTGTACAAGCATAATAATTCATCTGTAAACCTAAAAATGTACAGCCAATTTTGAAAGAGATGTACCCTAGCTCAGAAAAATGTTATTGAATAGTTAATGCTGTTGTAATGAAATGCTTCTTCTAATTAAAAAAAAAGTACTGTGATCTTTAAAATGCATATTCAGTTTTGTATGGTGCTTTTGAAACCTTCCTTTAATGGTAAAGATGTACCATGGCACACCTTACTAATTTCCCACTGATGGCTAAGTATATTGTTTCCAATTTACAATTAATATAGCAATTTTGTTCAAAATCAGTTTGGGTTCTTAAAATAATTTCCTTATGCTAGATTCCAGAAGAATTAACAAGTCAAGGGGTGTGAATATTTTGAGATTATCAATATCCATTGACAAAGTGCTTTCCAAAACAACCTGATCATACAAATTTACATCCTCACAGACTGGCACAAGGACAGTTCCTCTACATCCTTAAAAATATGATTCATTAAGATGAAAAGAAATGTTAATAATCAAAGTCAAATTGTGTCTTAATTTCCATTTCCTTAGTTATTGAAGACAGGCACAGTTTTAGAGCATTCGTTTGTTATTTTTGTCTCACAGTTATAAATGTAAATGATTAAACTACAAAAATTTCTCTTTAAAAAATTATTATTTTAAGCCGGGCGTGGTGGTGCACACCTTTAATCCCAGCACTCAGGAGGCAGAGGCAGGTGGATCTCTGTGAGTTCAAGGCCAGCCTGGTCTACATAGTGAGTTTCAGGACAGCTGGGGCTACAGGGAGACCCTGTCTCAAAAAGACCAAAAAAAAAATTATTATTTTAATTTTATGTGTACGAGCATATTGCCTGCATGTGTGTAAGTGCACTCGTGTTGTGCAATGCCCATGGAGGACAGAAGAAGGTGTTAAATTCCCTGGAACTGGAGTTATAGACAGTTGTTAGCTCGGAGTTATGGACAGTTGTTAGCTGCCATGTGGGTACTAGGAATTGAACCTTGGTCCTCTGCAAGAGCAATCAGTGCTCTTAACCACTGAACAGTCTCTCCAGCCCCTCAAAAATCTCTTATAGGAATAGATGTAACTGCATATCTTGTCTTTGAATGACAAAGTTTTAATCGATAGCAAAATAAAATGTAAAATTTGCCAAAGTATGGTGGTATATATCCTTAATCCCAGCTTTTGGAAGGCATAAGCAGGCAGATCTCTGTGAGTCTGAGGCCAACCTGGTCTACATAGCAAATGCCAGACCAGCTGCAGCTATAGTAAGACCCTGTCTCAAACAAACAAACAAAAAGATAAAATTTGCAAAAGTAAAATAAAAACCATTTTAAGTTATATGACTATATAAAATATTAGCAATGATTACAGCAAAGGATCCCTCATTTTTTTCTGAAATACTCTGCAGAAAGCAGGGATTCCCTCCTGTGGTCCTGTTTCAGTGATGTACAGAAAGAAACCCCACAAAGAATCCACAGAGACACCCCCCACGGCATTTCTCTCAGCGAAGCACTGATGGAGAGGGCAGTGGGAGCCCAAGGGAGAGAGCCAAGGAAAAGAAGTGACAGTGCCTAAGGGGGAAGGTAGCTGAAAGTTTTCAACTTTAGTCAAAATCTGATGGTAATTAAATGAGTCTAAATTCCATAGAACGAATTCTCTCTCTCTCTCTCTC